AAAAAAGGAAAAAAAAAAAAAGTTTTGAGTTGATGGGTATTAAAAAAAAAAAGAAAAAGTTAAAATAATAAGAATAATAAGAAGAAGAATAAACGCTCAAATTTATTTCATATAATCTTAGAGTAAAGAGTGAAATGAAATGAACTAGTCGGAATAGTAGATGTTACCCTTATTGTTTGGTCTATGGTAGATCCAGGCGGTCCCGGGCAGAGCAGAATGTAACAGAACCCACTGATGAGATCACGCCGCGCTGCGCCGGGAGCTCCGTCCTTTTTGCTTTGTTTGGTTTTTTTTTTGGTGCTGTTTTTCGGAGCGCATTGAGGGACCGTTACCTTCCCACAAACCCTGAGGTTATTCTTATAGAGGGGGAAAAAGTATTAATAATTAATAATGGGATCTAGTCATATGTATTTTTTTAATAAGATGCATTTTGCGTTGATGGCGGTCTTCTTTTTGTTGTTTTTGTTGTTGTTGTTGGTTTTTTTTTTAAGAAAAAAAATCGGAGGATTTGGCTTGTTGCTGAGCAGAAATGAGAAGGTTTGAGGCCATTCTTTGTTGCCTTATTCCCACCTCCAGCCCTCAGCAGCAGAGCTTTCAGTGGAACGTTCTGAGTGGGAATTCCTTTACCATTCCATCCGTGTGCTCTGCAGTGCCGCCGGCTCCCCCGTGGTGTTGGGAATCATTTGGGTTGGATGAAACTCTAAGATCATCCATTCCAACCCCAACTCGTCACCACCGTGCCCATGTGTTGAGTCACTGAGGTTGGAGGAGACCTGTAGGGTCATCAAGTCTGACCAACCCATCCCCATTGTGCACAAGGTTGAGTCATTGAGGTTGGAGGACACCTGTAGGGTCGTCAAGTCTGACCAACCCGTCCCCATTGTGCCCAAGGTTGAGTCATTGAGGTTGGAGGACACCTGTAGGGTCATCAAGCCCAACCAACCCGTCCCCATTGTGCCCACATGTTGAGTCATTGAGGTTGGAGGAGACCTGTAGGGTCTTCAAGTCCGACCAACCCATCCCCACTGTGCCCACAGGTTGAGTTAATGAGGTTGGAGGAGACCTGTAGGGTCATCAAGCCCAACCAACCCATCCCATCTCTGTGCCCACTCGTGGGATCACAGCACCATAGAGGGCAATCTTAGAGGTCCCCTCCAAACCTTAATGATTCTAGGACTTAATGACTTAATGACTCCTAGGAGTCACGGTGGCCGTGGCGTGGGGTCAGACTGGATGAGCTTGGAGGTCTTTTCCAACAAATCCAACCATCCACCTACTGCCAGTATCGCCCATTGCGCCGTGTCCGTTGGAAGGGTCCGACTGGAAGGCTCCGTCTAATGGGAAGGACTGTTGGGTGCAGTTGGTCCCTCAGAGTCATCGACTCATAAAATCCTTTGGGTCTGAAAGGACCCTTTGGGGTCACCTTGTCCAACTCACAGAGTTGGATGTGGGCCACGCGTCGGCATCCCACCCCGTGCTTGGGGGTGAGTTAGGGCGAGTTCGTTCCCTTCGCTTTTGGGGTTTGGATTTATGGCACTGTGGGTTTTGGATTTGTGGCACTGGGGTCACGTTGTGGGGAAGGACCTCCGAATCCTCTCGGTGTGTTTCTTCAGGGCTGCGTTCCGCCGCACTGCGCTCGGTGTAATGCCGCACCCGTGCCTGCTGTCATCCCGTGGTTCAGGGGGAGCACAGCCGGTGTCATCCCGTGGTTCTGGGGGGGTCACACCCGGTGTCATCCCGTGGTTCTGGGGGGGTCACACCCGGTGTCATCCCGTGGTTCTGGGGGGGTCACACCGGCCCGGTGCTCACCTCTTGCCCCGACCCATTGCGTCATGGCGCGGCGGGCGCTGTCCCCCATTTCAGGAGGTTCCCTTCGTTCCCCCCCCGGGGGTCCCAAAGTTTTCCCCAACCGCTGTCATCGTCGGGGGGGGAGGGAAGGGGGGGAGACGGGGCGGCCGCTCCCAGCACTCAGCAAAGCCATGCAGTAGGGTTAGGGCAGGAAGCGAAGGCGCTTCTCCTTCGGTTTCTGCAGATAGCACTGTGAATTGGACACCCCTCGCTGCGCCCGCTCTGCCAGCCCCCTCCCCTCCCCCCTCCCGGGGCAGCGAGCGGCCTGTTTCCTCTTTTCCTTTTCGTTTTACCTCATTTTGGGTTGTTTTTAAATTTTGTTGTTGGTTGTTTTTTTTTTTTTTGGGGGGGGGGGGGGGAGGGGATGGGGTTTGATACTTGAAGAAAAGCCAGTGCTTGACATTGGGCAGCTGGGCTGGAGGGCGGATGCACTTCATGGGTATTTGGGTACAAATGGGGGGGGTCGCATCCTTCAGGAGCCACATTGCACAGTGAAGGTCACCCCCAGGAGAGTGACACCGATGGGAAATCTGGAGTCATCCCATTGGATTGGGGGCAAGAAAGGAAATCACTCCAGTGGTGGCACCAGGTCTTTGGGTGGCTGATGGCAGAATGCAGCCCGCTCTGTGGCACTGCTTCTGGGCCACCATCCCCCTCCTGTGCCACCTTCCTTCTGCATCACCTGTCCCACCTTCCTTCCATGCCACCCCCTGTGCTGCCGTCCTTCCACGTCACAGCAGTTCTGTGCCACCGTGCTTAGGAGCAGGCAGAGCGTGGTGGATGGGGGAGGTTGCGGCCCTTTAGCCGTGGGACCACCAGCATTCCTTTTTCCTCTTTCCTCATGAATTCTGCTCAAGAATCATTAAAAAAGGGGGGAAATAAACCCAAAAACCCAACCACGGTAGGGTCAGCGCCCACCCCGTGCCGTTGTGCATCCGCTCTCCGGTGGCTCCGCACGCCCTCCTGCCCCACGGTGCTGCCCCTCCGCTCACAACCCATTCCTCGTTTCCTTGGGTTGTGTTTTCCTTATTTTATTTTATTTTATTTTTAATTACCGTTTCTTTTAACGTCATAGGAAGCCTGTAGTCGGGATTGTTACTATTGGAAACCGATCGCGCGTTCCATCCAGGTATTCCCATCTCTCTGGCATTACGCAAAAAAATAAAGGCCTGAGAGAGGTATAACCGAAGCTAGAAGTAGAGGTAGGCTCGTTGTCTGAGTTTTGAGGCATATAGTATAAGGGGAGAAGGAAAAAAAAAAATTAATAATAATAATTAAAAAAAAAAATTAAAATAATGATGTTGCACAACTTGTAGAAAACAAAGAAGGGAAAGGGTTAATGTATTAAATGTGCTAAAATTACATTAAGAACTTAATTTTATTAAAGTATTATTACTTAAGAAAGTCGGCGTCTGCTCTCATCTGTCTGTCTGTCTGTCTCTCTGTTTTTGGGGGGGTTCTGTCTGCTTCCTGCCCTGGGTGCCACAGCCACGCTGCTCTGCTCTTCCTCCCACCCTCCTCCTCCTCGTGCCCTTCTCCTGTGTGGGCACGGAGCTGATGTGATGCCCACGCTCTAACGAGGACCATAATGACCAGAAAGAGCCTCCAGAAAAACGGACCAGCAGGAGGAACCTCCAGGACCGTAACGACCAGCAGGAGTCTCCATAACCGAAATGACCAGAAGTCTCCATAACCGAAATGACCAGAAGTCTCCATAACCGTAACGACCAGGACCGTAAAAACCAGCAGGAGTCTGCAGGACTGTAAAACTAGGAGGAGCCTCCAGAAGCACAGTGAGCAGGACCGTAACGACCAGCAGGAGTCACCAGGATTGTAACGACCTGAAGGGATGTCCAGGACCGTAACCACCAGCAGGATCCCCCAGGACCATGATGACCTGAAAGAGCCTCCAGGACCGTAACGACCAGGACCATAATGACCAGCAGGAGCTTCCAGGACCAGACTGACCAGGACCATAAGAACCAGGACTGTGACGACCAGCAGGAGTGAGTCTCCAGGACCATAACGACCAGCAGCAACCCCCACACTAACTTCACACTGGGCTTCGTCCCACATTCCCACGTCACCCACTTCATCACACCCAGCCCAGATGTCAGCAGGGGCAGAGGGACCTCCCAACTCCCCCTACCCACAGCCCACAATGGGGATGCACTCCTGGGTCCCCCCTGCCCCCCCTGGTGGGGAAGAAACCCAGCAAGTGGTTCCATCCAGGTATTCCCATCTCTCTGGTTCCTTTGTAGGGACTGCTGGAACTGCTGTGACTGTAGCAGAAGGACACGAGGACATGGGGGTGACATGGGGCACAGGGGGGTGACATGGGGGGTGATGCGGCCCAAACCCCAGCAGGAGGGTGTAGATCCCACAGAAACACAGGGATGTTTCTCCCGCCCCTTTTGTGTAGGTCCTACATAAATGCAGGGACAAATTAGAGATGTTTCTCCCCTCCCTTAGTGTAAGTCCTACATAAACGCAGGGATGAGGAAGAGATGCTCTCCTGTTCTCTTTTGTGCAGGTCCTACATAAATATGGATACAAAATAGGGATGCTCCTCTCTTCCCTTGCTGCAGGTCCTACATAAGCACAGGGACAAAGTAGGGATACTTCTCCCCTCCTTTTGTGTGGGTCCTACATAAATACGAGTACAAAATAGGGATGCTTCTCCCTTCCCTTGGTGTAGGTCCTACATAAACACAGGGACAGAACAGGGATGCTTCTCCCTTCCTTCGCTGCAGGTCCTACATAAACACGGGGAGGAAGGCAGCACACAGCAGCGTCCCGCAGTGTCGGTGTGGAAGGTGCTGAGCAGAGGCTCAGATGCTCTGACAGCACTGCGTCTGGTGGCCGTCCTGCGTGGGCAGCACCTGGATGGGCTCCACGGAGCTGCTGGGGCTGAGCTGCGCCTCGGGCTGCGCCGCGATCTGCCGCTGTGCCGCGCTGCGATAGATCTCTGCCGGCAAAGGGAGGGGAACAGCAGCACTGCTTAAATGTCTGATTCCCAGCGAGGGGTCTGCCAGACCCACAGTGTGCAGCTCAGGGCTGGCGTTGGGGTTGGGTTAGGTTGAGGTTGGATTGGGGTTGGGTTGGGTTAGGTTGGGGTTCAGGTTGGAGTTGTGTTAGGGTGAGGTTGGGTTAGGTTGAGGTTGGATTGGGATTGGGTTGGGGTTGGGTTAGGCTGAGGTTGGGATTAGGTTGAGGTTGGGTTGGGGTTGGGTTAGATTGAAGTTGGGATTAGGTTGAGGTTGGGTTGGGGTTGGGTTGGGGTTGGGTTAGATTGAAGATGGGATTAGGTTGAGGTTGGGTTGGGGTTGGGTTAGATTGAGGTTGGATTGAGGTTGGGTTGGGTTAGGTTGGGGTTGGGGTTGGAGTTGTGTTAGGGTGAGGCTGGGTTAGGTTGAGGTTGGATTGGGGTTGAGGTTGGGATTGAGGTTGGGTTGGGTTGAGATTGGGGTTGGGGTTGGGTTGGGATTGAGGTTGGGTTGGGGTTGGGTTAGGTTGAGGTTGGGGTTGAGGTTGGGTTGGGGTTGGAGTCAGGTTGATGTTGGGTTGATGTTGGGTTGAGGTTGG